GAATTTATTAGAGGGCGTATTATTGAAGTTATTATTGAATTTAAAGGGCATTTTTGATTATTATTATTATGAGTATAAACGTATTAAATAGGTAGCTAAGTAATTTATGGACAAAAAAGGTACATCTCCCTTGAACGTAGCTAATTCATTGTATGACACTAGTGTAAACGAAGAAGCCCAGTTAGAAGCCCAGAAAGAAGCCCAACAGAAAGCCCAGTTGAATATTATAGTAGAAACTCAGTTAGGAGATAGCGCAAGTAGAAACCCAAGTCCAGGAGTAATCACACGTAGCCAAGTTACAGATAGTTTTGAACATCAGTCATTAGGATTTTTACCTATAACACGCACTAAAAAAATGGCAGTAACCATAAAATTAGAAGACGCTTTCAAATTAATTCCAATATGCACAGGAATAGACGATATTTATCAATTCATAAATGCATGTGATATGGCAGTAAGTTTAGTCGACACAAACAGTGCACCAACACTAGTAAAATATATTACCACACGTTTAACGGGTAGAGCATTAGAAATGATTAAATACAAAAATGTATCGAAATGGCAGTTTATAAAAATTTATTTAACAGATGCATTTGAGGTAACAACCACGGCATCGTCGTTACAACTTCAATGAAATTCGATAAGAATGTATCACAATGAGGATGCAAATGATTATTGTCATAGAGTAGAGAAACTATATTATCAGTTATGTACCGTAAGTACATTAGGCAAAGAAGCTGCAGAAGCAAAAATTATACATGATATATTAAGGGAACAAACTCTAGCAATATTTATTAAAGGATTAGTAGAACCGATTAGAACAATAGTAAAATCTCGTAATCCCAAAACTCTGGAGATCGCGAAACAACTTGCTATGTCGGAACAGGTGGAACTAAGATTAGAACAGGAAAATAGGAACCATTATTCAAATATTCATTCACAAAATTATAATCAGCGCAGATCGAATTACGAAAATAGGAACAACGAAAACATTAGACCAAATAACCCTGTAAGGACAAATAATTATCCGCGAGCAAACAATTTTCTCAACCAATCAATAGGCCAGCAATAAAGTGTTATAATTGTAATGGTAATCATTATGCATCTCAATGTAGGAATAATATGAGACCTAGTTATGCGAGCAATGGCAATAACAACCGTTCATCTTGATAGGAAATTTACGCAACCACCTACGAATTATAATTTACAGGTAGTTACGTGTTCATACTGTAATCGAACTGGTCATACTATCGACTCATGTTATAAAAAGAGAAACGATGAGAGTAGAAACGTTAATAATTCGGAAAACGAAAACGTGTCGAACGAGAGTCGCGGTACTCGTACGATAAACCAGATTATCGCGGAACAACCGACTCACGAATATTCCACATATTCTCAACCTTAGAAAATAATCATATAACATTTAATTCATTCACCGCTAACACAAATCGAAGGGCCGTTCGTAACAACGTTATATATAAATTACTTTATTCGGAATATCATCAAATATACTTATAGTTATATCATTGATTATAAATACTGGTATTTATAATCAACTGGAATATCATAGACTGATACATTGTTTTTCTTATATCAATGATAATATAATATCATTAATACCTCATTACTTATTAGGTAGTTATTTGCTCAATAACTTATGGTTTAAAGGCAAGGCCGGCGGCAATGGGGGTATGGTCGGTTGTCACCCCCCCCCCCCTTTAAATTTTTTGTAACTATCAGTCGGCATTTTCTTAATAACAGAGAGCTGACAGAAATTATACGACTTGTTATACAAACTGTTTTCCTAGATTTTCTTAGGTTATAATTTTAATAATAAAAACGAAACGGGTCCTTGGCAGTCAGTAGTATGTTGATTTCTAAATCGGTAATTACAGTGGATGACACTGTTAATAGTTTACTACGTTATAAAAAAATTTAAATATATAAGTGGATATTTATTATTTAATCAATGACTATTGACTCCACAATAGTGTAAGTATACAAATAAGGGGAAGTAGAATTCCTTGTTTTTCAACTATACACACTTGACAATTTAAGAGTTTACTGATTTAGAAATCAAAATACTGCTGATTGCTACACGCCTATACGTATATGGTATATAATACCTATAATAATTTTTTTAGTACCGTCGTACATAGGTATGCTATCGCTAATCGCCATCTCAAGCACCTATCTGTGGGCTGTGGGTGGTAACAATATATTTATATAGGATATTATTACAGTCAGTGGTTTCATTTCAGTTTTTAAAAGGGGGGGGGGTACAAGTTTCGACCAGCCCAAATCGGTAACTTAAAAAAACAACCACTGGCAAGCACATATTAATATATTATGTTCCTGATCAATTTTTACACGGTGGTGGTTTATCTAGATTCTTCCATAAGTGTAACATTCAGATGCCAAAGTTTTATTTTAGATTTTGTTTCCTATAACCCTTATCATATATTGATTTAATAATACACAATTTTTAAAGTTTAAATAATCCAGACAATCCTGTACCTGTACAGCTAGTGGCTGTATGATATACAAGTAACAATTGTTACTTAGTAATATAGGTAACATACTATAGCATAGAACTATTCAAAATGTTTTAGTTCAATTTTTTAAAAAAATTTTTTATTATGTTTTTTGTATAATATTTATCAAATTTAACCTATTATATAAATTTCAACCCATTATATAGAAAAACCATGAATTTTTATAGGTACTTCACATAGTTTGTTTTAAGAAATTACGGGTTGACATTTTTACAGTCGGCATAAATTATATTTCAGTCGGAAAATACTTGATCTCACCCCCCCCCCCCCCCCCCCCCGTGAAAATCGTATAACGCCGGCCCTGTTTAAAGGTATAAAATATATAATTAATAAGTTATATATTTATGTGTTATGTCTTATACTGTTGTATAGGGCTCAGCCCGTTAATAAATAAATATTTAATTAGTTAGGTATTTAGGTACCTAATATGTAAATATTAAAAATACCGTTCAATTAAACATCAAATCAATCACATTTATAGATTGTTACATAATTATACATTTATACGCACCTATATAATTTATTTATGAGCATATATTATAATATATTAATTATAGGCACCTAATACCTACTTATATAATTTATTAATACAACAGTATGATATAATACTGCTTCACTGCGATGAGTTATGCATTATAAATGTGGCTTGTTACTGTTTAAATTGCTTGTCCTGTAATGTAAACATCTATGATTTTTACTGACTATACGTTCCAATTACTATTTTTTTTCAAAATGGTAGGTATACTATAATGTGCCCAGGATGATAACAAGGCATTTTTGATGTCGGCTGATCGAAGCATTCTGATTTAAACTAAGCATAAACAGACTGACAGAATTAATTATAAATATAGGTAACTAAGTAGGTAGTAAGTACCTACATAGTTATTCACTGTACACAATTATTATACATGTGTATTCAAAACTAATTTTGTATCACAAACCTTTATTTATAAAAAAACTTTTATGTTAAGTATATAATCTTTTTACACCTATGAATGTTATTTATTTTATGAACCTACCTGGCTACCTATCTAAGTCAAAAATATAATTCTTTTCCATCAAACCTATTCCTTTATATATAGTGTTTACTATATGAATATATTAGTCTAGCTAGACTATAAGTTAGCTAGACCATATTATACAGTATTGACTGTAGACGTATTATATTCAAAATATATTTATTTATACATTATGTAGACATTTTGGTTATAACTTTACTATATAGGTTTGTATTAAGTATATAACGATCTCTTAAACGTAATTTGTATACAATTTAATGTAAATAAATAGTATTATAACCAAAACTGTAAACAACTATGAATATTAAAGTTCAAATGTCAACAAAATTTCTCAAATAAAAAATTACAGATCATTTTGCAGTTAAACATTTAAAAAATGTTAAATTTTTTATAGCTTAGGATTTGCTCAAACTGTAACCAAAAAATCTAAAAAGATATTAGTAATTACACAGTTTTTTTTATAGTTATTTAAAGTTCAAGTTTGGACGATATTAGATAATAACATGATAACATGATCTTTAAACAAAGAAGAACGATTTTAGTTTTGTGTTATAATTTAAAAATATTATTAGTGGGTTACTTGAACTTCTAATAAGTATACCTAATATTAATTCAACTTACTGGCTACCATATTAATATTTATTTATTTATTTATTTATTTATTATATAAAATATCCTAGGTTGACAAACCGTTTTCGCTAAGAATCATTTGTTGTTTACAATTATATAATATTATTGAATTAAAATTTAATACCATCCATTACTGTCACCCACTTGTAACCTACTGTACAGCAGAGTGCCACCCACTTGCCTGCTTTTTTAAATTTTGTTTGTACTATAAAATACAACTTTCTATGTATTTACATTGTTCATGATTTCTACCACAATTAAAGATATATATTTAAGATTAGGTATATATTTAATCGTGATTTCTACATAAAACAAATAATTCAAATTTACGCTCGCACAATCAGATTATCAAAATAATGATAAAAATAATTCACGCAGTCATAGATAATAGAAGATTCTATTATCTATGCGCACAGTGATAATGATGAGCTGGGAACCACGATTGTTTATGAGTAACCATGGTTATGACTCACTACTAAACAGGTGATGGTAAATGGTAAAATGCCATTTATTTATTTATTATTATTTTTTTTAATTAAAAGTGCTACTCTTATTTTAAAATTTAAATGCTTTTAATTTATTATATCAATATTTAAAAAATATATGATATATTGGTTTAAATTTTTTTCTATTTGAAATTTGAAATGGTTGATTTTTATTAGGCCACTTGTTTTTTTTAATACTAGTACTTGGCAACACTGCTCACTAGGTACACTGTATGAAATAGAAATAGGTGTCAATAACAATCAACTGTTTAGTTTTAAATACAATTTAGTTGTTTGTTCTAATAAACATTTTATTCGTCCATCACAAAGTTGTATGCCAATCCTCTGAGGTACTCTATAATGTTTTGGTTTCTATAATCTTGGACTAATGTTAAAATACGGTTACTAGCATCAACGTATTTTCGCTTAGTGGTGGTCCGCGGTGGTTCGTTGCCTGCCACTAAAAATTCATAATATATGTCACGCTCTGCCTGCACTTTTTTCAGCTCATTTATGAACCTCCATAATGTGGGATTTGTCATACCGAGCTGTGCCTGTAGACGCCTATGAGCAGCTTCCGAAATGTTATTGGTTTTCTGAAAAAGAGGTAATGAATTTTCTTTTAAAAGTTTTTTAATTATAGCTGGAAAATCAATATTCATAATAACTAATTTTATAATTTGTAGGTGAAATATTTGGCAGTGTTTTTATGATAATACTATGGTAATGTCTACCAGTTATATACAAATTATATGTAGGTCAATAAGGGCGCTTAAAAAGAATACATACTAAGAATACCTACTCACATATTATAGTAAGTCGAGTGACAATACAACAAACAAATTCCATATATTATAAGGGATTTATGAATAGGTATTATTTTATTATATCTAGGTAGGTATCAACATGTAATTATTATTTTATAATCAATAGTCTTACCATTTTTTTTTTTTTGAAATTAAATTTAAAAGTTAAGTTTATAAAATATAATGTCATGACTGAGAAAAATTTAAAAAGATCCAAACCCAAAAGTTCCATTTACAAAAGATTTGTAATATAAATACCTATACTAACATAGTACTTTTACCTCATACAAATTATTTTTTAGCACATTAATAGTGTAACAAATTTTATTAATTTATTGTGTAACTGTGTAAGTATTCAATTAGGAAGATACTTAACAAAATAATTTTGAAGTACCTAGTACCTACCTACCTTTTTAACCATATCATAAAAACGTTAAATTATATTTTATTGTGATAGTTATTGAGTAAAATGATTACTTGTGTTAATTTTATTTCAATGATATATGTTTATTTGTAATCTTATAAAAGTGTATAATATATATCGTTGGAAATTGTAGTGTAGTAAAAAACGATAACAATTGAGCAAGGAGCTACTGATTTAATGTAATGTTTAAAATGTATTAAGTTAATTATAATAGTGATGTCTTGGTCTGCGACCAATGTTTTGTGGATCTACACATGGTATAATAAATAATTCTGATGCTCTAATATCAATGTAATAAATTGCGATAATGGTTCATAGACTATTAGACTATAGTACCATAGAACCTAGAGGTCCATATATTTACATCAGTAGTATATATTTGTATGTTCACAGCCAGCTTTTCCAGGGGAAAAAAAAAAGTTCAAGCGAGAAATGTCCCCTTGGAGCACTCAGATTTACCGTGTAACACAATTTCACACTGATTGACTACCAAATTTCGTCTCACACAAAAAATATTTAACATTTACCAATTTTAAAACTAAAATAATTATTTCAAGGAAAACACAAATTATTAAATCATAGTTTTTTTATTGTTACAAATAAATTCTTAATAATATTTACACAAGTTTTCTTACTTCTCTAGTAAAAGGTACATATTCTACAATACGATCATGAATTAAGAAACAGTAAGCAGTCACACCTGTGAGCGATTCTGAAGCTTCAATTTCCAATTGAACATCCACTGCTGAGGCTGTGGCTGAATCGTTCTGTTTCGAAGTATCGATAACTATAATTGGAGCGTTTGTCAGAAAAGTAGAAGGACTCAATATCGGGTTGCGAATACTTTTTTCATAGTACGATTCTTGAAACGATGTATACATATTATATAATAAGGTGAAGTTATTTTTAGTAAAATCTAAATTCAAATTATCGTATGGATAAGCTATAGAGTTCAGAAATACTTTAACGTTTGTTAAATTACAATGATCAAATATACTACAATCTTTTGTTAGCAAATTTTTGAGTCCTTTTTGTAATCCAATTATGATAAACCGTGGTTTTTCTAATTTTGAAGCAGTTTTCAAATTCCATACAACTTTTTTAGTGGTTCCGAGTTCAGGATATTCAAAAGTTTCAAAAGATCTAAAAGGGATAAATAGACTTTTTTCTTTTTCTATAAGTTTCAATAATTTTAACCTTTCTTCGTCATCGACCGTTATATGTGGAACCTTCCAGACTATTTTATTTAAGGTGATTTTACCTTCAGTAGCAGTTGCACCATTTTTAACTTGTAAAGCATTTAAATCACTATGACTTCGGGTTAATATTAATTCCAATCTAGAATTCACTAATATTCTTTTATAGTCTTCAAACAATCCTAACCAATATTTCAATGGTATGCAAGCACTAAATTCACCTTTGTCATTTTCCGATTGCGTTGCGTTTTTAAAATTCCAGGCAGCATTTTCATAACAATTGTAGTTATCTGGCGTAACCTTTCAACGAACTAGTGATTCCAAGAACACGTGTGCCATCTACTTCTATCCCATTATTTCCAATCGTATTTGTTCGAAGAGGTAAGAGTAACCGTTATTAGATAGTTTCACTTTGGTAGCATCAGTAATTGTTCCTTCCAAAAATAAAGCTTTCGTGTAGATATGGGTAGACATCCGTTTGCTGGATTGATATACGTATTTCATCATTATTATTAAATGATGTTGTATACGGTGCGTATGAATGATATTCAACTTTCGTAATTTTAGAATCCGTCTCGTACTGTGAAGTTATATCCAAAATATCACTCCCAGGCATTCTGCTTTAATTGATAACCCAGAACTTGTAAAATTTTTTTATTTTTTACCGTTAATTTTTTTTATCTTATTTTATGTTGCTGGTAGCACTTTAGTCTTATGACTAGTTGTGCTGATCCGAAGTAGCGGGTTTATATTGAATTTCAACCCCATCTCAAGACCCGTAACGTTTAATATGTAACACGATTGTCAATGCCTCACCAAAATTATCAATCGGATTATGATCTTGATCAACTAACTGAACGGTTATCGAATCAATATTTGTTTTATTCAATTTGTAATATATTAAATTTGGCGGTGCCTGAATTACTTTCGACCCTGTCTTTCCACTCGGGAAAAACTCATAAATCGAATGACTCTGAAGATGGTTGCTGAATGATCCTTGAGCTATTTTACACATTACTTTTATAGAATTAATTGTGTTTAAATTTACAGCTTTTTCCGATCGAAGAATGTTGTATGGATTATATACTCGTTTTTCAAAACCAAATACAAGTGCTATACTATATGGATATTCAAAGTGTAGTATCCCATTACATTTTATATACGATCTGAAATCATCAGGATCAACCGTAATGTCGAATGTTAAATTGGTTAAGTTTTTACTATTATAGGCAACTATTTGCTTCTTAACTCGATCCTTAATATCTTCAATTTCATAACAACCCTCTTCCAAAGTAATAAAACATATCATAGGATTATTATTGTTTTCATTATCAACTACTCGTATAGAAAATGTATTATTATTTTCATTAATATTTGGGAATGAATTAAATGACTGTAAACATAACAAAGCTATTTCTGAGTCATCGTAAAGGTTTATAGGCGGAAAATAATTTACAGATAATACAGTTGAATTTCCAGTCAAACTTAATGTAATAGATTCATGCATTGTAAAAATTCAAGACATAAATGACCACAGTTAAATGTATTTAAGTCTTGATAGTTGGAATAGTTATATACTATTTTTAACTGTCTGAAATAATGTTGTAATTCAATTGGTGGGGTAAATCACCAAAGCTATCAAAATATACAACTTTGTCCTTATTTTTATAAAACGATACCCAATGGCTTCCATCGCCAGAAGATATATCCAAGTTTAATATACCACATTCAATAGCGTGCGGTTTTTCAGGTAAGTTATCACGTGAAAAGACTCCACGGAAATGATTGATTTTCAACTTTACGGTATATTTTATAATATCTTGAGACGAAAGCGGTCTGTCAGGTAGCGTAATAATCAGTTTTTTTTTCTTAACCTGTGCTTGTTTGATTTCATACCACTACCTTTTTTTCTTTTTGAATTTTGAACCGCATTATACACACTAGCACCTCCAGACATCAAACTACCAAGTGCTGACAATCCTGCAAATATAGGTATTAAGGGAATTACACCTCCTGACGGTCTCGGTGCTAAAATTAGTCTTTTACCACCATTCTTTTTCTTTAAGATTCTTTTTTTTTTCGCTGCTAGTATTCCATTTGTTTTTATAGCACTTTTCCGTTTACAACCCATACCTATTTTTCTTTTAGCTTTCATTGCGTTTGTTACTGCGTACGCAACTAATTTCTCTTTTCTAGGAGTATCTTTTGCTTTAAATCTTTCCCAAGCACGATTTTCTAACACTTTATCAGCTTTATGTCTATCGTCTAAATTTTTACTCGCTGCATACACAATATCGTGATCACGACAAGCAGCATCCAATGGGTTTATTCCTTTATCGCCACGATCTAGTCTCTTTTTTAATTTCGTGCCAGGACCACAATACTGATATCCTGAAACATGGGCTTCGAACGGGAGACTATTTATAAGGGAGTTTACAAATCCTTTACCAGTCTTGTTTGAATTGTACTTACGATTTGAACACGCCATCTATAACTGGCTATAAATTTAAAAAATCTAGAGTATTTATATGAAAATAATATGAATTTGATTGAACAGAAAGATAAATTAGATGTAATAAATGTAGATGTTCAGGTAGTAAAAAAACCATCAAGACACGGCTCGTTATTACCCAATACTATACGTGCTATACTAGTTGGTCCCAGTGGCTCAGGAAAAACAAATATAATGTATAATCTGATCACACATACAAATGGGTTAAGACTTGAAAATATTTAATTATACTCGAAAACCTCTAACCACCCAAAATATGTTTTATTGAAAAAAATAATAGATGATATAAAAGGTGCTAATTTTTTCATATTTACAAGCGCTGATAAGGTTATAAAACCAAACTTAACGAAGAAAAATTCTATTATAATTTTTGATGATGTGATGTGCGGCCCACAATCTGTAATCAGAGAATACTTTAGCATTGGTAGGCATTCAGGTGCCAGCTCCGTATTTTATTTAGCACAGACATATTCTAAAATATCAAAACAGCTTGTAAGAGATAACGCAAACTTTTTAATAATACTGAAACAAGATGATACAAATTTTCGACATATATTCAACGATCATTCGTCTGCAGATATGGATTTCTCAGAATTTCGGAAAATGTCTCATTTATGCTGGAATCATAGCTATTATGGGTTTATGGTTATCGATAAAACTCGAGAAATGAATGAAGGAAGGTATAGATGTGGTTTTCATACATTCATTAAAATAAAATAATTTT